GAATTTCAGCAGTAATATTTGTAAAGATACTATTATATAATGAAGTAAACTATGAAAAATAGCTCTTAAACACTTTCAGCATATTATCTATCAGAAAGTAAACTACCATCAGTAAGACTATGAAATATTTATTTACATGTCATGGAAAACACACAAAAGAACATCACGGAAGTTAGAATGGCTATTAGCAGCCCTCTCTTCTCTGTGAAGACCACTAATGCAAATAAGATTACATCTTCTCGGTGCACAAACAAATAAAACACATCAGATGACAAAATAGGAAAAACATGTATATCCTTCACTACCAAAGCCTCGGTTAGCTAGGAAATAAATAGCTAAGGAAATAAAATCTGCACTTTTGTGATGTATTACATGCTAGCACTCTTTGTCCAAAAAAGTCTATTTGTTGTAAATTAATCTGAAACCCACTCATTCATCTTGCCTTTTGTGCAAGCTTTTAAAAGCTAAGACATGAAATTGAAGACATATTCCTTGAAATTCCAAGTGTTTCTAAAGCTACAGTTATGTTGTCAGTAGTGTGGAATTGAAAATACTTACAGTCTCTCCAGTTCTTTAAGGTCTTGGAATGCTCCTCTTTCAATTGCAGTAATCTTGTTCTCCATAAGCTGACTGAAATACACAAGGTAACATGCTTCTTAATGTCACCATCTGAGCATGTTTCAATTCAGCAACTAAAATCATAGAGGCTTTTTGCTTTTTCGAAAGATTTTGAGATCTGGTGTGAGAGCTAACAGCAAATTTAACGATGACATACGTGAAAGCAGTCAGGGAGCAAAAACAACATCCACATCATAAAATTCTCGTAGAAAACATTAAAGCAGTTGCTCACAAAATTTGCCAGTCAAAACTATGAACCTTAAAATATAAGTGAGAAGCAACCGATGACATTTTCAGTTTTGGTAGTTGTTTTCTAGTACGTAGATTTACAGCTGAGTTCTAAACTAAGGAACCAATATGCAATGATTCATCCCACACATACTTCAGTTCTGGCTTCTGAATACACATCTGCAATCTGGAGATTTCATGAGGACCAAAATGTGTCTTAATAATTGAACATATTTTCAGAACAATGGTCAAAAGTATATGACCATGGGATGTAAATATTTCCAGTCCTGTGGATGCAAATAATTTAGCATAACATGACCTTCCAGTGATGATTTTCTCACAGCTAAATTAACACACTCTTTGTAGTAATTTTGCAACAATTTTACATAAGGCAAAGTAGTTAGGAACAACTCCAAACATGGCCAATGAAACTTTCATAAATAAACATTGTTCCAACAAAAACTGCTGATAAGTTCAATGGCTTGACTGTTATGAGAGAAATTATCTCTAATTGTGCTTTGCCAAAAAAAAACAAAACAAAAAAAAACTGAACATTTTGATCTCAGTAATAAAACACAGATCCACTTAAATTGTGTCAAGTTCATCTCAAATCTGAAAAGTAACATCTCACATTAATTATTCATATTATAAAAGCAACTATTCTACATTTTTATACATAGAACTCACTTAGAGTGTGGTAAACCAAAGACTCGAGGTCATTGCTGCAATACCGTTCCTATGGCAAGTATCCAATCTTAAAATAAAGGCCCAGATTTTTACCAACGTTGTAATAGAGTGATTGAAAAAGTAAAAAAGAGAAAGCAAGACCTGTACGTTTTTTTGTTCATGCCATTGGATAGGATTTACCAACTGTTAAGCCAGTGACAGTTTTGAATGTGCAATCTTAAAAACAAAGTTTTCCAAATTACAAAGGCAAAACACACTTACAGAACTCGGAGGTGCCTGAGACCAGCAAAATCAGTCTTCGTAATCCGTGTGATGTTATTTCCATTCAGGTCACTAAGAGATAACCAGAAAAGAGGAGTTTCTCTTCATTTCTGTTACACTTGGTTGAACAAAGCAAAAAAGCAGCTAGAATTTAAAGACTAAAAATGAATTCTAGTCCTAGTTGAGCAATGTACTGGAATTGGAAGGGGCAACCTTTGAAAGGAGATTTTATTCTTGACTCAGATTCACAAAACTCCTTCCTGCTGGCCCATGAGAAGAAATGAAGTGCTGCTGTTAGGAAGTGGTAGGGGTGACCTGCATAGGGGAGTGATTCTGATTTTTGTTTTCATAAGGATGTGTATATTCATTTATAGGTGTTCTGCTATTATTGTTAGGCACATCCCCAAGGGATTCGAGACAGAAAGTGAAATGAACACTGTTCTCATACCACTGTAGAAGACATTTTTAAAATTCAGAACACTGGGTAGGTAGGCAGGCTGGTGGCTAAGCCTCCAAAGTCAAAGGAACAGGTTAGAGTGCCATCAGACTGGACTGGAAAGCCTGTCACTGATGGGCATTTACATTCCAACGATTCTGTTTGTATTAAAACTAACTTTTCCTTGGCCTCTCAGGCCTCCAGTGGAGGCGGTGAAGAGGAAACTACCAGCAGGGAAATGCTGCGCAGGCCCGGATATTTTTTGTTCAGCTGCAGCACCACTTGTCTTTTGTGGCATCTCAGGTCAAGGTCTAATGCTGCCCTGCTCCTAGTCATTCCGAGTGAGGCCGGGCTCTGCAGAAGCCTAAGTGCCCTCGTCCATGCAAACGGGCTCACGGAGTGGGGGGGTTGTACACAGCCTCGTGTTTGAAATCTATGCTTCAAGTGCTTACTTAGTGACAAAATTTCATAAGCCAGGAGTGAATACACTGTTTTCTGAAAACTCGTTATATAGGCTTCACACTTTGGAAACTCAACTGTGGTTTTACTCCCAGTGCAAGCTTTCCTGATTAAGGCACGTTCCTGCTTAAACTTTGTGGTGCTCTGAATAGCACGGAATGACAATTGCGGAAACAAAATTTGACTTTACTTCTCATCCTTCTCAACGCACTTTTCCACATTGAGCCAAAAAAAGAATCATTAAGTTATTCCTAGCCTGACTGGGTCTTCTTCAGTCTATTTGATGTAGTAAGAGCCGCTGTGCCCCGACCGAAGACAGATGGGGTGGATCGCGTCTTGAGACAACCAGCCTCCACTTTGGGCCCTATGGCTTGTCCAGCACTGAGCACTCTGGAGGGAGGACGGGAAAGGACGGGAGCTACTGGTGAAACTGGGAGCCGGTGACCCTTTCCAAAAGAAGAAAAGGCTCAATCCGGCCTCTAAACTGAGCTTGAGGGGCTAGGGACCCAGAAGCGGGGTGACCGGAGTTGGCGCAGAAAGTCCCAGGACGTCTTCTCTGCAGTGCGGGCCGCACGCGGAGAAAAAGGCCTGGGGAGAGCGGGCCACTCCGCCCCGAGCCGCAGCGCCCCCGAGACGAGCGCTGCGTGAGAGCGCAGAGCCTGGCGCTCCGGAGGGCGCGGGCTGTAACGCGGGCTCACAAAGAGCGCGTTCTCCGCGCTCGGCTCCCCGCAACCCCGGACGCCCCCAGCAGGAGCGCGCGGGCAGTCCACGCTGGGGCAGCCTTTACTTCTTCATTAGCTGCGGGCGGAGGCGGGGAGGAGGGGACGATGCAGTCAGCGGGGCGCGGAGAGTGAAGGCGCAGCGGTCACGGCGGAACGCGGACACCCGGGCGGGCCGCGTTTCGCCGAAAGAACCGGCGCTCGCGAACTTCGCGTGAAGGATGGGACCAATTCCCCCCGCAGTAGCAGTGGTCGCCTCGGAGGGCCCTCTCGCGGGTTTACCACCTCCGCCCCGCAGCAGAGGGTGACGGGGACCATCGCTGGGGACTGAGCATGCCACTACGAGAGCGTCCCTGCCCCGGGACACCTTTCTTTCCGCAGTCCTGGGAAAAAATGCCCCAGGCGCCCCGAGACGCCATCTCCCCTCCCTTCGTCCTCAGGAGGGCGACACAAAGCCGGGGAGCGGAAGTTTCTTTTGCCCGAGCCCCCCTACAGCTCCCTTCGCGCCAGCGCGCGGCGCAAAGGGCGGGGACTCGGCCCTGAATCCGACCTGCGCAGCGGCTAGCTACCGCAAGGTGACTCCGTTTACCGAGTCTGGGAAACAGAGTGGCGGCTGGCTTGCTCTGGGCATCCTTGAATACGTATCCCCAATCTCCCCCTCCCCAGCTACACAAAACTCCTCCAAGGCTTTGGAGTGGCGGGACTAGGCTGGGAAACTGGACCCAGCGCTGCGGCCGGCGGACCCGCCCCTGGCGGGGCAGAGGCCCCTCCCTGGGCATCACCCGCCCGCGCTTCCCGCCCCTCCACTGGAGTGCGCTCCGGAGAGCCAGCCCGGGCCGCCCGGCACAGGTCCCCAAGTTGCTGGGTCCCTCCAGAAACAAGACGCACGATCCCCTGGCGGGGAGGAGGCAGCACGAAAGCGCGTACTCACAGCCTCTCGGTGTTGCGGGGGATATTCCTGGGCACGCTGCGCAGCGCCAGCCCGTGACAGTCCACGGTGCTGCCGGAGCAGGAGCACTGCGCCGGGCACGCCTGAGTCGCCACCTCGTCCAGGACCGCCAGCACTACCACCAGCGACAGGGACAGCGTCTGCCAATGCGCGCCGCGCATCTTCCCCCGCCGCCTCCTCGCTCGTGGGCGCTGGGGTTTCTCTTAGGTCGCCGCTCCCAGGGATCCACGCAGGGTCTGAGGCCCAGCGCTTGGCGCGGGGTCAGGGTGCCCCGGGGAAAATGGGCTCAAAATAGTATGGAGCAGTAGTAATATTCAAAGGAGTCGAGCCAGTAGAAGCACACGTCTTTACCCTCCCTCTCTGTCCTTTCCGTGGGTAACTTTAGAACCTGAAACTCAAACGGCCTGGCCAAAGCTGAGAGGAGATCCAGATAGAAGCGGAGAGATCACTGCGTCTTCCGTCTCACAAGGATCAACTTGGCTTGTCGCTAAAAGCTCCCGGGCGTCCAACCACCGCGAAGACGCAGTTGCGGGGGCGGGGGCGGTTACTCTAAACCCACGTACTCTTGTGCAAATCCGATCCCAGTGTAGAGAGTCCCAGGCGGAAGATGAGAGCTCGATGGTAATGGTGGTCCTGAGAAAGTGAGCTTTTTAAAGCTAGAAGGCGCGGGAGCCCCGCGGGCCCAGAGCAGAGCGCGCCGAGCCACTGGGCATGGCGCGCGCGGGGGCGCACGGGGCGTTTGCGCAGCCTGAAGGGGCGCGGGGCGGCGCAGAGCTCGGCTCACTCACGCGGCCTCCACCCAACCGGTAGCACCGAGGCAGCCGGGACTGGTCCTCGCCCAGGATGGTTTGCAAACACACATGCACTCGCTGGGGGAAGTCTCGCCAGTCCCGCCTCCCGCCGGGCGTCCTTGGCGACGCTCTGCACCAAAGCCTGCCCTGAGGTCACGCGGAAAGACAAAAGGGCAGTCCAGTAAGACCACTGCAGCTCGGAAAGGGATATCCACTAGTCAGAACCCCAGCAGAGCAAATCCAAGAGGCCAAGTTGAGGAAGATGGTTCCCGCGAATACAGAGTGGGCAAGGGCTGGCTCAGGACTTGCCACCAAGCAGGCAGGCCGGAAGGAGGGGACCGGCTAAGGTGGTGTCCGCGCCCGCGTACCGCTGGGATGTCTGAAGGATGGCGAGGCAGCAGGCGAGCGGCCGAGACCGCTACTGCGGCCGGAGACCGGTCCCCAGCTGAGTGGCAGTGGCGCGTGCACGCCTGTGTCAGCCTCCGTCGTCTCCCGGATACACTGCAGACACCTGATGGCAAAGGTGGAGGAAACAACAGCCAGCTTCGGGCCAGGCGCGGCTTCTCTGCCGCCCCTGGATAGCCTCCCACAAGTGGGTCGTCCTTCTCAAAGTGCAGGAACTTTTCCCAGGCTGGGGATCCTGTCTCCCACGGCCGCGGCAGGAGTCCTCTCGCCGACGTGGAGACGCCGCCCGGCTCCCGCCGCTGCACCTGACCCGGCGGCCGCAGTCCAGGCAGTCCGCCCTCGCCTCCCCTTCCCCTCTCCCGGCTGCTTTCCTCGGCTCCGGTTCTCTGGAAGAAGGTGGGGGAGAGGGATGGCGGCGACAGTGAGCGGGGTCTGCTGCTCTGGAGCCCCTGGCAAGTGTCTAAACAATAGGACAGACGCAGCAGCCGAAGTCTCCCTGGGCTGCTGGAAGGTGGGTTGTCGTTGAAACTGGAGTTGTTCGCCCAGGCTGCCAGACGCTTAGTGCAGTCGAACAAAAACCCTGCCCGCGCCTCTGGAGCCAGCTGCGGGGGCCCGGACGCTCTCCTTTCTCAGCACTCTCGCCGCGCCGGGAAAGCTCGGCAGCTCCGGCCTGCGCCCCGGAGCCTCGGCGCTCCCATCCCTCGCTGGCGCTGGCGCTGCAGCCACAAACGTCGCCTCCGCCTCCTTTATTTTATTTTAATTTTTTAAAGCACAGTCTGCAGCAGCCACTGACGCCGACTCGCTCCGCCGTCCAGGTGCTTCCCAAATAAATAACCCCAAGTCCGAAGTTAAGCTGGCTCGGGTCTTATATAGCCACCCGAGCCCCCACCCCTTTAGCTCCGCCCCGCGAGGCCCGGCCACGCCCCCGGCTGCGCGCGGGGAGTCCGCACCTCGCCGGCGAGAGGTGAGGCCCGAGCTGGCGGCGCGCGCTCCCGTGCGCCCTGGCTCGCGCCCTCGCTCCCACGCTCAGGCAAACTTTGCCTGGCGAAAGGCGCTCCCCGGGCCTCTGCCCCACGCCTTGGCCCGGGAGCTGACCCGGGCTGCGGAAGGGCTGGGCATTTGCAGCGGGAGAATGGGGAGAGAGCGACTTTGAACGCAGCTCATAAATAAATAGCGCTGCGAGGGCCTCTGCAGCAGCTTTTGCCTCGCGATCCTAAGGGGGCTGTTCAGCGTTTGCAGCGCAGGAAGAGAGACAGAGAGATTATGATTTAAAATAAAAAGAAACCTTACCGAAATAGATCTGCCTGAGCTCACAGACATAGGCGTGTGTATTTTGGGGAGCTTCAAAGTTCAGACTTTTTCCAAGTTGGAAGGTGTTTTTTAACCTTCTTGTGTGACGTCCCCTCTCCAAACCATCCCTTCCCGTTAACCCTTTCTTTGCCGTCACACAGTTCACAGGACTCTGTTGATGTCTTCAATACACAATAAGCTTCCGAAAATCTAGCTAAGCATTTGAAAATGTCTGTGTGAATTTACTCTCCTAGGGGGGAAAGGAAAAGGAAAGACGAATCCCTAGCAACATGCATTGTGCCCTCCCTCACGTCTCCTTTCTTCCAGGGCAGTTCTGGGTATTTCTACCCACTATTTGAAAGAGAATGTCCTTATTTCTTCTCGTGTCTTCAGTGTAATGTGTGTCTGTCATCAGCTACCATTTTCCCTCTCCCCTGGCGAACACCAGTGGTGTACGTGGAGGTTAGAAATGACGTTCGAATGGGTCAGCTTTTCCCCTGGAGTTTGAAACTCACTCCCTCATCTTCTTCCTGGTGTCAGCCCATCTTTGAGGCTTTTGCAGCAATCTAATCACTTCTCCAGCCTAAACCCAGCTTTACAGAGCAGTAATTATTTGTATCATTGTTTGTGGCTCTTTCGAAAGCAAGAAGACCTGTCCAATTCATTTTTTATATCTTTATAGCACTTAACCATATGTCTGGGATGTAGTAGGTGCCTTGGTGCTTAAGTAGTTTGTTTGACTCACAAATATGCTCAACCCAATGTCCCTGCAGCGTCTGAATTCTAGCTAGACTTTCCAAAATATCTTTGCATCATGGTTACCTCTCCCTGCCCTGAAATTCCTTTTAAAAGCATTTCCAAAGTAGGGTCCCCTTTCAAGACATGAATTAAAACTCATTTGAATTTCATTACTTCATATTTCTTTTTCTTAAAGACTATAGAACATTTAACGTTTATTAACTCAGTTGTCCTTCTAGATTTTAGCTTAAAGGTCTCTTATGTAACTCCCTTAAGAAGGAGAAAGGACAAGCCAGAGTCACAGTTTCTCGTAAGGACAATGCGATGCAGTGCAAGTACCTGTCATTGTGGAAGGATTCTTCCCCTAGGGAAGTTTCTTTAGTCCCACCCGTAAATTCTGTGGTTGCAGAATGTTACTGACCTATTAACTCAGTTAATTTCACAACTTGAATGCTTTATTGGCAGCAAGACATATCTGTGCTCAATTCTAACCACCGGAAAGAATCATCGTTCTGCATTTTAATTGCCAAGAACACATACCGTGTCCCAAATGCTATATTCATAAGCATTATTGATATTGTTGACCAGAATGAGATTCTTAAACACAGGTTGGGTTTGATTCTGTCTTGCTCTCTTTCTTTTTTTCTGTAACCAAGAAGGATCTGAGAATAACACTCATAGCAATATGCCCACAGAAACATATTTTTAATTTGATGCAGATTTATATAAGAAGATATGCCCAGCGAACTTCACCAAGAAAAATAAAAAAGACTGTAATGAATTCCTGGGAGGCAGAGCACACTACTTTGTGTGTGTGTGTGGGGGGTATGTGTGTGATCAACTTGCCAGTTAGTAACAGGAAAGATATACAGGAGTGACTGGGTTTCCTGTTTTCAAAAAATGTGGTCAAGGGTTCCTGCACTATTACTGCAGGATGATTCTTGAAGGCCTTATATAGTTTGGTAGCATTATCTAGGTTTGAATTCCTTCTGGATTTCTTTGCTCCCAAATATATTCTGTGTTTTCCTTCGACTATTGCATCCAGCCCCAAGAAAGGCTGTCTGTGTTGTCCTCTTGTCACCACATGAGGTCTCCATAAATCCTGACCTGGATTAGGGAGAAGAGGAAACCACCATAGTCAGAGGTCTGGTCTCTTGTTATCTGGAGAAGAAATCTAGTTGCTAGAATAATTTAGTTAAGACAGTTAACACTCATGCAGCAAAAATATCCCAACTCATAATTTTAATAGAAGGATATAAAGATAAGATACATACATAGGACAGAAAGTAAATATTCAGACCCTGTAATAAAAGGTAAGCATGCATGAAAATTATAGTCTCTACTTAAATAAAGGTAACAGTAACAATATTGATTATACTCATCATCTTTTTATCTATCTTCATACTAGTTTCCCTTGTTGGAGACTGTTTAATTATCTGGTTTTTCATATCTTTGTAGAAAGGTGAATATGAAATCCTGGTATCACAGAGCCTAAGGCTGAACTCAGATCTGTTTCATGACTACTGAACACCATGGAATTAGACGCACAGTGCAATTCTGGATGGTCGTTGCTCAGCTCCCTGTGTCAGAGGCTACTGGTCTGCAGCGAGGGCGCAACTGATTAAATGACAGAGCCAGGAGCCGAACCTGAGATCTCCGACCTTCAATCTCTGAATCTATGTGTAGATCCTCTGGAATTCCTGGTGGGATTATGGGGTCTATAGCTCCTCAGGAGCTATTATCCTCCTACCAGAGATGTTTATATCTCTGCACAGACTGTTTATGGTCAGATCAAGCAAGCAATGCAGTTCTAGGCTCTACAGGGCCAGAAATCCCAAGATACCGATACCTGCTCCTACAAAAAGCTGCAGCTTGGAGAAAATTCTCCAGCCCAAAGATTCTCAAAGTGTGTGGTCCTAAGACCCACAGCCTAAGAACCAGCAGGGGTAACAGTGGGACATGCACATTTTCTGTCCCCCAGAATCAAACCTTCTGGGTGGGAGGCCAGAAGTTTGTTTTCTAACAAGACTTCCCAGGGAGCCTATGAACCCTAAAGTTTGGGAGGCCTAGCTTGAGAGCTTCTCTGTGGTCATATCTGAGTCACTGAAGTATGGAGAATGAACAGACGGTGCATGATGGGTGGACAAGCTAAATCCCAGGCAGCTTCCCCTGCTGTTTGACAAGTGCAGATCCCTCATTACCTCTAGGGGGCACCAAACCATTTTCATGTCCAGCCCCACAGAGGCAGTAAACCCTTAAATGGAAAGCAATTTCTAGAGCCTGTCCCACTTACGTTGGGACGGGTTAAAGGTTTATTATATTTAAGCTTTTTCCGTTTAGTACTGTCAATGTTTGGGAAGAATGATTCCTATTTTTCATTATTAATGTCAAGTTTAAGATAAGACGTGGCACAGTTTGATGTTTATTAAATAAAGGGTGATATGATTATTTTGCTATTCTTCATACTACTAATAGGAAAATTTTTCTAAATATCTGTATTACAAGAATGCGTTATATATGTATACTTATTATTATGACTCTTTAAACATTTTGCAAAGACCCCTGGGATGGTGTGGGCTGAGAGGTATATTTTTAGGAGTAGAACAAATCACTTAAAATGATTAAAGTTGCCCAGACCTACCTACAGCCCTATGAACAAAAGAGTGGAGATTAATGGAATTAATTTTATGATGTTTACATCTCATAAAGTACTCTTTTGCAGGAGTGAAGTTGATTTTCCTTCTTATAAAATAGCTTGCTGGTTGAAGAGTTAAATTCAAAATGAGCACTTTGAATCTAGATCTACCCACTGTTAAGCGGGAATGCTTGGGTATGACAATTACATTTTTCTGACTCTTTTCTGTCATTTATATAATGTCAGGATAAGACCTCTTGAGCTGTAAATTCTTTTCAGTTGTTACTATAATTCTGTTTATATGTTTCTGCTTCAAATATTTCATTTAACTGATATATATATATATACACAAAGCTGCTCTTTTTCATATGGATTAATCTAGAAACAGAGAAGAATAAGCATTTTATTACTAATGAT